AGGAAGGGAGTTAATTTGACTTTATCACCTTTAACCCTTTGATCCCTTGGCATGTCACACAACAGTGTGCTCTCCTCTTTTTGATGACGACCCGAAATTGAAGCCCGCGACAAAGACCGTGACTCGTCACCTTGACCAGTTTTCGGAGAACATAGGGTAATAAGCGGACCCATCCCATTCTCCCCTGGAGTAATGATGGTTGGACGGTTAATGCACTGATTTTGAGTCGAGAGGTCTGGGTTCGAAACCTGTCCGGATCGCTGTGTTGAGTTCTTAGGTAAGACACTGTACTTTCAGTGTGCTTCTCCATAACCAGGAGTATAAATAGGTACCGGCGAAATTTCGAACGAACTTGAAGTCATGCTTGCCATGGACGGAAACCCCATCTAGGTGGGGAGTAGTAACACTCGTTATCACTTCTTGAACTCAGGCTGGATGGGCCTTCGACTCGTTTCCAGACCTTTTCTGAGCTCTCCTTCCTTTGCCTATCAATGTCAATCAAGTAACCGTGAAAAACTTGAAATTCTGGCGTATTTTTATTTCCCAAAACTTTACATCGAATCTTATCACTCCATGACACCCATAGAGGCCAATATAAAGATTCATTTACCCTTGCTCTTGAAAGCTTTATCATGCAATACAACTCTTGAAGTTTACTTTAAAAAAATACTTGGTATTTACTTTATCGCGCTTAGTTAGGGTATTAGAAGAAAGAATCTGCGCGAGATGAATCCCATTTAACAAAATTGTTACGAAGTGCTCCAAGTGCTTTTGAACCAGAGGCTTGGGTCTAGTCGTTGTGCTTCACGTCATTTCCTAACAAAGTCGCCTCAATTTCTTGCAACACCAAGTTACGTTAAGCGTTTTCAGAATTGAAATTGACGATTACGGGCTAACGCTTTTGCGAATTGTATCAAAACGAAAAAAAAACCTTTCTTATTGTGACAAACCTAAGAGGGAAGAGAGATTAAGCTGAGACTGAATCTATCACCAGAAGACAAGTGACTTATGGAGTTTTCATCGGATTTCCGAAAACACCGATTTCTTTAGGAATAAGCTTGTGTGCACGTGTCTAAATAACCGGTCTTTTTGGCTTGATTCTCTCTTACCGAAAATCAAATAGCCTATTAACGTGTTCTTCAAAAGGGTGTTTGCACCGAATCCTGGATCAAGTGCTAAGCTTGCTTCCTCTGTTAAAAAAATTGTATTAGTGAACGCTTTTTTAGTTATTTTTTCCTAAGATAAGACAAAACAGACGGAAAAAGAACATAGACAGTAAATCTAACTTAAGTGCTTGGAAACTAAATCATAACATCTACACCAACACTAAGTTGGTTTTATCGTATTTGGAACAACGCGAACCTCTTTCAGAGAAAGACTGGTTGCGAACAAGCTGTAAGAAGGCATCATGGGAACTGGAACGGGTTCAAACCAGCATGGTATGAATCTGCACTTCCACCTGGAGAGCTAAGATTTGGTGAGCTTAGATACTCTGGCGAACTTGCTTCACTCATCATTTGATGTACCAACTGTAGAATTCAGAAAAAAGTTGATTAACAACTGCATGTCAATGAGAAATCCGGAATTACTTTAGTTTTGCCTCTAACCGCTTTGTGATTGGTCTATAAAACTCACACCACCTTTTCAACCAATCAGGCACAATGCTTTAAGTGGGCGGATTTGTGCGCACCTTACAGTGAAGCCGCTAGAGGCTTGGGGCGGAAAGCTTCGCGAGTCGTTTTTGCAGCTGCTGCATTTGTTTTCGCCGAATGCCAAAAACCGCGCGTTACTTTTGCTAAGTTCAGGTTTAGGATTAAGCGTACTTCAAATGAGTGTTGTTGAACCAAAAATCTAGAAATCAAACTATAACGATAATCATTTGGAAAAAGTGACCTGTAACAAGTAGCCAAGGGGAACTAAAAACAAAAGCAAGACAACAGCCTTAAGCGCGGGAAAAGCGCGGGCGACCAAGTCACGTGGGGCTTCAGTTTCGCATCTGATTGGTTGAGACGTCAGCGCAGGTTTACTCAGGTCACCTCTGTTTGGCCATTATGATAAGCGTTATAAAAAAAAGGCAAGACTGTGATAGTTCCTAAACAAACAAAACAGAACGAAGCCTTTCTTACGTTAACAATTTCTTCGTCACTCAATCCAGTACTTTCCCTTCTGTCTACAATAAAGACGTTAAAAAAAGAGAAATGAAAGTTTTAGTGCTCTCATTTATACTCACCCCTGGAACCTACGTAAAACTCACTTATTTTAATCCAAAACATTAACATTGCTCAGCAGGCGCAAGTCAAAGTCCCACGATCTAAGGAGAGGGAGAATCCTGGGAACGAGGTTTTCAATGCGCGTGCGCCATTAAATTTGAAACACGCGATGAACACGCGAGGAAAAAAAGGAGCCTTTGGTCGTTTATCCCCGCGCGTGCCCACGTATACGCTCGTGGCAACTCGCGTTTTGAAATTATGCTCAGACTGCCACCCAATGCAACAACCGTCATCGGGTTTAGTTTTTCACTCTTGTAACCGAGCTTGAAGTTAAACTCAGCAGGATGTCTCAAGTGGAAACAGTTTCGCTTGGTTGCCAAAGGGAAAAAAACCACGACCTTTCGGGTTCTAAGCCAGTTTCAAAACCGAAGTGTTTGAAAGGGAATTTCCCAATCTAGTTAACATTCATGTTAACCTTTCTCTCAAATAAACAGATCAAATTGTTCAAAGTTACTTAGGCAGGTGTCTTCACACGAACCAAGTCAAATAGGTTTGCTTGGCTGCTTAGATCTCGCCCCAGCTGTAGAACTGCAATGAAAATCTCATTGTTTCCACATAAGGAGGCGGGCTGGCCTAGACATTGGTGGCCCAGACATTTCAACCTCTCAGCCCAATCGAGGGACGGTCATGTCTTATTCATCTCAGTAACTGAGCTGAAATTTCTCGAAATTTAAGCTCGGTAACCAATAGGACCATCAGACAAACTGTCCGTCTTTCTTGATGCCGGGCCAGCCAGTTTGTAGGGCTCTAACGGAAAAGTCCGAGGGAAGGATGCAAAAACATTGACTGTGTTTATAGAAAGAGCCCCAAATAATTCCATTTACAAGTAAGCTTACCTCGACACGGCCATCTGTCATAAGCTTCCGGCTCTGCCGGGTAGGAAGAGGGCTGAAAATAAAAATTAAACTTGCGCAATCAATTGTGTTTATAGGAGGCGAAGTTTATAGAGGTACTATTGTTTATTTTTGACACCCCATAAAGTACACAGTTTTTTGGAAAAACCTCAGAAATTTTTAAAGATCGCTCATAACAAAACGTTTTTTTTTTCCAAGACGATCTTGAGAAATTGATTCTGTCATACGGATGATTTAGTCTTAAAAATAACCCCTCAGATATCGCGGGAAGTTGTTTTTATAATCTTACACCTTGGCTGTCAATTGACAACTGCTTTCCGGGAAACTCGATATTATCAAAGGAGATTAAAAATCGTTTAGTCGTGCTAACACCACCGAATGAGGGACGTCCGTATATCCGTAATCAACCATTGTGATGCAAGAGATCCCAAAGGAACTGAAAATCGTTTTCTCGAAGGTTCCAACATCCAAATGTAGTTTGCAAAGCAACTTCCGGTTCCGCTTTTCATCCGTATAGCAGCTGTGGTCACGCAACTATTTCAAATACAAACAATCTTTTGTTCGCTTTGTTTCATTTTCGTAACTCTATATTCCCAAAATGATGAGGCGTAATATTTCAACTGATTTCCAAGAAACGTCACCAAGCGTCATTTTGACATGACACGTTTGTGAAAAGCATTCTTTGAGTTGATGCAAATTTGGATAAATTGGAGGATTTTTTTATGACATAAGGATTGTATCCGGAGAAAGCTGTGAGGTGAGTCATTATGTAAACGCAGAAGCTTTGAGCAGCGGCGGAGTAGTCATGCGTAATTACGCAGCGTGTAAGGTTTTGTCGGCTGTTTGTGTTACCTTAGCTAATGATGTGAATTTTAGGAACCACATTGCTCTTTTGTAGTGAAATGTCGTCTCTGAATCGATGAAAGTGAAAGTAATTTTATTACGATTTAAGCGGTCGTGGAATATCGAATTCTTATTAATTCAAAGTAGTCGGCGAGTGGAGTTCGTAAAAAAATCAATTCTGCCTACTAATTAGGACGCTCAAGCGAGATCATTACTTATAAAATTGAGAGGGTAGCTATGAGATTAGAGGTTGACTTCAAGCTATAATTCGCAGATCTAGCAATTTTTTTTCCTGTAAATCTCTTGAGGGGTGGAAAACTTTCCTTTCCTAAATCGCTCTCTCTCTTATGTAACTCGTGAACCTAGAATTCCGAGAAATTGACTGGTGGAACAATATTTGTTTCGCGTTGCGAAAGCGATATCACTTGAAATCGCCGATTGAAATATCTCTTCGAAATTTCTGTAAAACGTCAGTGGATTTGAGATAAATTTCTTCAATATCTTCAAATCCCATCTAAAAACCAAACTTGTCATTTAAATTCAGTGTTGATTATCTCGTTAGCTTTTTTCAAATACAGGGAATTCCCAGAAATTCGATCAGAATCCTCAAAAAATCAGTTGAAGTAAGCAGACTTCGCCAGTCTGGGTAGCACCGATGAAACCGAAGAGATATCGTGCGTGTAGAGCCGGACATGACCGCG